GTTCTCAAACAAGCCCTTTTGTGTCATGGATGGCTCTGGACTGTGACGTCGAGCTGCAATAACAAGGAGTGACATTGTTTCTGCTGGGGTAGGTGAAGTAAAGATAAAGAAAGGAAATGTGGTTTGAGCGGACTCAAAGCCATCTAGGTACAGGTAAGAGCATGGTTGAGCCAGTGCGAGCAGCATCAGAGACAAATAGCTCACTGCATGGCATCAGAGATTGCCTTGGACTCTGCTAAACAACTGTCAGCTTCTCTCATTCTACTGTGTTGTTTGATTGGTGATAGTGAAGACTTCTTAGCCGTCAGTTAATGAGAAAAACGGTTTGGGCAAGGAAGAAAGTAGTGAATGTGACGTAGAAAAATATTTATTCTGAATTATCCTTAGGTCTGTATGTTTGCACCTGTGTGTTGTATGTTTGGAGGGTGTGATATTTTTAGGGGAGTTGTAAATTCATATACCTTTGGGAAGAGGATAATTCTGCTTTATTCTTCACACACACTCCATATGTGTGAAGATTGAATTGTGTTTTAATTTTTTTTTATTTAATTACTACATATTTTATTGTGTCTAGGGGGTGTTTGTAATATAATGTTTAATTTATATATATTTTATCTAATTAAATTGGACCTGAACCGCAAGAAAGCAGTACATTTGCCAAAACTGTCCTGAAACTATAATAGTATTATGACATTGTCACTTTAAATACAGTAAAGCAAATGATAATTTTTGCCTTTTATTCTCAATTCTGGCTTCTTCATGCCATCTGATAGCACTCACACTACTCTGTTACTTGAGCGTTTATCTTTGTGGTCTTGTGTAAAACACTGATGTTTATTGATAGCAGAGGTGTCCAGAACCCTGGAATATAATTGGAAATGACAGAATAATGTACAAAACATTTTGTCCTCATTTCATTAACTCACTATTGCGATAGGAAGCGTGGCAGAGACAACCAGGCTCTGGAGTTTGTGGCCATACTTTTCAAGTCATTTGTGTCTTCTTTCTATTGTCTACACTCGATCAAATCCTTAGAGCACACAAATGAGAAGATAGGAAAGTGTTTTCAGTGCCATGTATAAATACAGAAACAATTAAGGAGCTTGCCAGAACAAACACATGCTTCATGAGCTCCTCATCTAGGCATGGCTTCTTATAATCGAGTGCTGCACTTTTAACAGGCACATTAACCATGCCCCAAACCAGCAACCATCTGTTAACAGTCTTCAATGCCACACAGAACTGTATACACTTAAGGCAGTTTTTGTTTCAAGATACACTAGAGTAAATTGATGGTAAACAATTGATTTGTAGTGACATTGCAGTAACAAGAGAAATTGGAAACTAACTAGTCAAAATATTTACTATTCGTTTTAGGTTTTGGAATCCGGTATTGTTTTTCTTTGTGCACATGCAAGTGTGTGTCACATTTTGCCTTTTTTTCCATAATCTTTATTTTATCATTTGACATGATATAGAAATGTCAGTATGTTAAATTCATTTGAAAATATGCAAACTAGATATTAGTTAAATTGTAGTGAAACAGATTTTAAATGCAGTTTTAAGAGGGTTTTTTTACACAAAAACACATCTGTATCGCTTTAAGTTTTTTTTGTCTATTTTATTTATCTGCTATAAATCCAGATTGTTGTATTATGCATGTTGTGTGCACACAGCATTGTGTATTGGAGCTGTGTGTCTTCCCTGAAACTAGAGTTAAATGTAATTTGATTTGATGTGTGTATGTGTGTCTCTGTGCGTGTTTCTCGTCAGGTCTATGGAAATGCAGGATCTAGCCAGTCCTCAAAGCCGAGTAAGTGGAAGCAGTGAATCTCCTAATGGTCCCAACCTCGACAACTCACACATCAATAACAATTCCATGACACCCAATGGCACTGAAGGTATGTGTACTGTGCTGTTGTTTTTTTAGTCACTCTGTGTCTTAGCTTTGAAAAAGGCTGAAAATGGTGATAGAAACTTATAACATTCAATGTGTAAAATATTTTTTAATATAAAAGTAATTCAGTGAAGCATTTATACTTTTTCATTTTAAAGTGTATTTGCAGTATTGTAGTTGGGCTAAATTATCAGTACTTTAAACAACCAGAAAAAAAACGGAGAATTCAGTGCATCTGCTTGATTTCCCGTGACTATTAGCTGTTTATTTAAGTAGCCATGTAATTATTCAAAGCCACAGCATGGAAATGACAGAGTTTTGCATGATGTTTCTACTGTGCGTCGTTATTTACTCAGGTGATTCACTTTAAATCTGAGCCTTTGTTTAGTGAAGCATTCGTGCTCATGTCACAAACCAAGTTATTAAACCATCCCCCTTCAGGTTCATCTGTACTTTGAACTCAGGATTGATGTTTTTTGCGTATTCATGACACACGACCTATAGACATGGTGTCGACTGTCACGTGTCCCTTTTGCCATTCTTTCTTTCCCATAGGTGATAACATCACAATGCTTACAACTGCAGACTGGTTGTTAGGTTCTAACTCACAGTCCACTGCAGGTTTGTTTACTCTTGGTGACACAATGAAAGGACAATACTTGTTTCCCCCAGCTCAACTGAGAGCAAGAAAGAAAGCACCCTTAGTACCTCTTACCTACTACTTACCATCTTTAATTTGTATTTTTTAAAAGTTTTAAAAACATGCTCATCAGCTGCAAAATTATAAAGTTGCCTCAAATATTGTGCCTTTCATTTAGAATGTCTTCAGTATTGGCTGCAATAAAGTTGCCTCAAATATTGTGCCTTTCATTTAGAATGTCTTCAGTATTTGCTGCAATTGTTGTGGTATTCTGTTTCAAGCATGGTTTGACACCGACTGGATTTGACTCCCTAGTCAGTGAATGTTCAGACGGTGAACTTGCATACTGTGCATTTTGTTTTCACTTGGACATTCAGTGCTGTTTCCTTAATACAGTGCTTATCGTGTGCTCTGTGACCTCAGTGTGTGCTAGCTTATGCATGCACCTTATCAGTATTCTTTTTTCATTGGTGTGGTGTTCAAAAGAATTGCCCCTTGTCAACATACAATGAGCGAGCATAGCGGAAACATGTAAAACCTGACAGCAAATGTTTCTTCAGCCCTGACTGATTCCACTGAGCATGATTTCCTTGCCCACATTATCAATTTGTTTTGCCCCCCCCCAAAAAAGCCCTTCAAAAATGAAGCGGATATTTTAAAGATCCCTGTGTCTTTGTAGAACAGCATTTGCCTACAGACTTAAAAAGATTGTATACACCATACATCTTGACATTTCAGCTGTAGTTTTACATACCCACAGAGATCTTATATTATTTACATCTACAGTAATGATTATTTTTTGCATGCTACATTTAAGGGCTCATAAGTATGTAAATGATCACTAAATTTGAATTATAATATAAGGCTAAGTAGAAGTAGAATGCACCGTCAAATTAGAAGTTATTTTTGTTTCTTTTTTTTTTTTTTTGCTCTTGCAAAATAGTGACAATGCATTTTTGAATGATCTTTACATCAGGATAGGTCTGAAGTACATTTTTAAATGTAAAATGGTTTTTGAAACACAAGGCTCCGTGATACTTCTCTTGTACTGTACCATTAGAAAAATGGCATAAAAAATTTGAAATACTACAATATATGAAAACAATTTAGATTAAATGTACTCTGGCATATTTTTAATGCGTTTTCATTTTTTGCTCCAAATACTGTTGAAAGGTTGTTTGCCTACTCTCTCCCACTTCTGAACTTTTGTTTTTATTTTACCCTGACATAATTTTGCGAATGTAAAAACCTTGAAGTCTGATGTAGGTGCATATTAATTTGATCTTTTTTGTATGTTTTCCAGACAGTGATTTGGTGACATATGGCTTCTTTGTTTGCAGTTAAAACCGAGCCAATGAGCAGCAGTGAAATCACCTCCTCGGTAGCAGACACCTCTCTAGACAGCTTCTCAGGATCAGGTGAGTGTGGAGGACTGTTTTGTAAGTGGATGTGTGAGTGTGCATGTGTCTTAGCCACACAGCTGCAGAACTGATTAGTGAGAGATGAGCCTGTTGATGATGGCTGATAAGCTGGGCCCCAGGAAGTCCCTGCATCTGAAACACCAGTACAGTGTGTGTGTCTCTGTGTACGAGTGTTTAAGAACAAGAGAGTTTACCTCTCCTTTCTCAGTGTATTAACATACTGCCTTTGCTTGCAAGTGTACCTTTTTGTCTATGTGCTAACTCTGCTGGTTCCCATGCCAGTGAGGACTGAATTATGACCTGTAATTTAGTGTGTCTGTCTGTCCTGTTGAGTGACATGGGGTCCCATTGGCCCTTGCTCTCCACAGGTTGTTATCCTATCACCCTGTCAGAGCTAGGGTTTTCACACCCTCCTCTCAGCACAGGAGCATCACACAGACTCTTACACATAAACACACAGATGGGCATTGCTAAATAAAACCAAGGCCTCCAAAAATATTGAGCATTGAAGGAATTGTAAAAGAAGTAATCACTAATGTGATAATTTTTGGCTTTTTGGTCAGTAGTATCTATGTCAACCTACAGTGCTGTTCTTTACATGTATATTAATAGTACTGCATGCTCCCATCTGTGCATGTTATCTTGCTGCTATTTTTTCCTGTATTTCCTTAACTGTTTAACTAAACACCTGATACTTTTACACCAGAAGTGCATAAATCACTGGTATGACTTTAGTCTCTGACAATATTAATGAAATTTAGTAATCTTATACCTCATATCCTCCACGTGGAAACCCGAATACCCGTTTAGAAGAGCAGGTTTTGTCCAGTGGCAGGTGCCTCTGATAATAATAATAATAATCTTTATTTGTACCGCACTTTTCAGCTCAAGAGCACAAAGTGCTAC